TATTCCCACAGTGAACCGATTTATAAATTAATTACTGTAACCCATTGTATTTGATTTCTCTTTTTAGGATTCCCCAAAGATGAATATACTAAAGCCTGGGATATTAAGTATTAACGTCTGATCAGAGTTTGCTATACAGCCTGACTTTTTAAAAAAGAAGTCGATGTGGGGCTTATAGAACCGCTCATTGTAAACCTCCTGGATATTTTTATTCCACCAAACATTAGCTTTGCATTTTTTACTGTCGCGGTATTTGTCCTACCCCGAGTGTCAGTGAGAGCACCGAGAGAAAACCTACAGTACATGTGTTATTTGGTGAAGTTCACGGAAAGTCAATATCCCATTTAGTGTAAAAGCTATTTTCCCTTTAGATGATAAAAATCAACCTTCTGAAGGAAAAAAAAAAAATAACCCTTTGGGTGAATGCACAAAAAGTATTTCCATGTCCTAATGAGGACTTTCCTTACATCAGCAAAGACCTGCTAATTACTGATGTACAAGCTGCAATAATTGCTTTTGCAGCCAAAGTGTAGAGTGTTGTCATATTAAAAATTGAAACGCTCGGTGGTGATTGGTGTCCCAAGGTGGCTGGCGACATCCCTTTCGGGAAGGCAGGGGGCCGGTGGGGAGCCCCGCAGCCTGTGGCTACCAAACTTCTTCCTCGCCCCCCCCCTCTTCAGCGGTTGCCCCCCCCTCCGGCAAAACCCCTCCCGGCCCATGCTCGCCCTCAGCACCGGCTCCGTGGGGGTCCCGGTGAAGGACGAGGGGCTCAGAGGGGCTCGGGGGGGGCCGCCGGCCAAGTCCAGCCCCCCCCCCTCCAGCTGCCAAAATGGGGCTCGGAGTCCCGTCCCCCCCCCTACTCCCGGCGCGAATCAAAGCGAGGGGCTGGGAAGTAGTTGCCTTGTCATGTAACACATTGCCCTGATTTATTATAAAATTTTAACGAAATCATGCATATTTTAACAGCCTTTAATCACTGCATGAAAATTTAATTCATGAACTGTAGCGCGTTTAAATAAATGAAGTGTTAATTCATTAGGATTAATTAATTTGTTAAAGGATTGTGTGCAAGGTTAAGGTGGGAGAGAAACTCTTTGTTAGTTTCGCGTCTTAATCACCAGGTTTGGGTAACAGAAAAGGGGGGTGGAGGGGGGGGAACACTGCCTGGGGCGGCAGCACCGATGGGAAGGGTGAGACCCCCCCTTTCTTCTCCCCCCATCCCCGGCCGGTCCCTCCCCGTGCCGCCTCCCGCCAGCAGCGGGGACCAGCGGGACCCCCCCTCCACCCCCCATGTCCCCGGACCCCGGGCTTTGCCGGTGTCCCTTTGGCTGCCCCGAAAACCAGGAGAATGCAGGCAGCAGCCACGTAACCTGCAAAAGCAGTAGAGGCAACGCTTTCTACCAAGAAAAAGCTGAAAAAAATCAGAAATAGTAAACTTTTTTTTTTTTTCTGCCCAGCTTCATCCTCCCGTGATACATTCCTGGCTTCTAAGGCACAGCCACGCTTTCCCCTGCAGCAGCTGTTCTTGTTTCTCTGTCCCTTTGCTGATGAAGGGTTTCCCAGTTGGCGTTAAGTGGCACCAAGGCAACAACGGCAGGACAGGGACAGCACCTCCCCAGTGGGTGCCTTGCTTGTCACCTTTGACTGCAGGCAGTCCCTGGGATAACCCCAAATTCCCATTTCTGGTTACCTTGCAGTTACTTTTCCTCCCATCCGAGGAGAGGAGAGGAGAGGAGAGGAGAGGAGAGGAGAGGAGAGGAGAGGAGAGGAGAGGAGAGGAGAGGAGAGGAGAGGAGAGGAGAGGAGAGGAGAGGAGAGGAGAGGAGAGGAGAGGAGAGGAGAGGAGAGGAGAGGAGAGGAGAGGAGAGGAGAGCCCAAGTGTATTCACGTGGGACATTTCTACACCAAGGTGTGTTGGCTTCATAGCTTGCAAGACATTTGCCTTAGCCACAGTGCAGAGAAGGTGTGTAAAGACTTCTCCAAGCCTTTGGCTGATGGGAGTCAGAGGCAGGACTCTTTTCTAGCAGCAGTGACACGCTTTGATGCTGTGTGAGCATTAAGATCAGAGTAAGTTGATTCAAACTACCTTACTTACATTATTTGGTGTGAGAAACAACTGTAAAATGGAGAAGTGGGGTGCAAGTTAGTGCACCTTGTATTACAGACATAAGCTGTACACTAGCCCTTGAACCCCTTTTGAAGATACTTTAAAAAAAAAAAAAAGAAAAAGACAATAAAACACAGTAAAACCCAGACATATCCCAAGTTGGTATCTGATGCCAATCAGTAGAGTGACTGTAGCACGAGCTTCGATCTGAGGAAGCAGCAGCAAGCAGAACCGGGCTCTCTCGAGGCCTTCAGGGGGCTGGGGAGGAACAGGTCATCTGCCAGATATCCCGTGGGTAAAACCATCTGCAAAGAAGCCAAAACCTGACCCATATGTTGAGTACAGCCCAACAGCTTCTACCAGCAATGAGCTGAGGCTGGCAGCAACCTCACT